GGCAACGTTTATTGCAGGCAGGCATCAGCCTTTTAAAGGAAAAGACCGAACTATTATGGGCTAGGATTACCATAGTAACCTCAATACCTGCTCCTATAGATAACATCAGATCTTTAACATAACAAAATGGAGTTAACAACACCTGACTCCTACAGATCTTTGGCTGTCCGTGTTTCTCCCGTGCAGGGTCAAAACAAGTTTAACATGTGCAGTCCTTAAAAAGGAACAAATGTTGTCTTTCAAAAAGCCAGTGGGCCATGGCTGGCTTCCCACAGGAGGGGTCTTGCCATCAAAGAGAATAATAATCTCAAACACATATGCATCAAATAACAGAGCTTCCAAACACAAGAAGCAAAAACTGATAGCGCTGTAGGAAAAGTAGATCAATCCACAAATAGGTTTCTTTTCTTAAATACCTTTCAGTGTCAACTGGAGCGACAGATTAGACAATAATGAGATAGATTAGAAAGCTCAAAGTGGCATAGCAGCAATGCTCCGAAGGACAACAAATGGAAAAGACAGACGTGTATTTATTGGAGGAGACGTCTGGATGACGGAGTAAGAGAAACAGGAAAGAGGTGGACAGAGAGGAGAAGTTGAGTTCTGCACACATAGAAGGGCTCTGGTAAACAAGGTCGTGGCTGTATGAGGACAGGGTGTGAGACACAACTGCACAGTGTGTACTGGATGAGAGGTGCAGCATAACCTAGTTTTACCTGGATAGAAGTCTAAGAGGTCAGGGTTGGCGATGGCCCCAGATTCAGTGCTTTAGGATGGTAAACATTTCTTTCCCGCGTGACAGACCCACAGATGTGTATGGAGGGCTCAGCTCTCTGCGGTCCTTCAGGGACCCGGCTGCTTTTGTCTTGTGTCTCCTCACTTTCCAGATTCTTCCCTTAGCTCGAAGATGGGGAAGGAGAACCAGGAACATACAGAAGTTGTTAATGTGGCACATGTCGTGCAGGCTCATATTTCATCGGGTGAAATTCAAACTCATGGTCTCAACTCTGCTGGACAAGGGCAGCCGCATGTCCAGAAGAAAAGCAGAGGAGCAGTATTTGTGAACATCAGCAATCTCAGCCACAGATGTCCCTATCTTACCTGTTTACTGATGCTCTGGGGATCACTCTGCTTTGTTGGACACTGAGTCTAACTCTCAATTTATTTTCTAAGTGAATTCAGTGGTTTCGATTATAGTGGGTGTTTGGGGAAAGAATTTGAACTGTAGTGAAACATGGGTATTTTCTAACATTGTGGAGTGGAAATAGAGAACCACACAAAGACATAAAAAGGTTTAGCGGAGGGCTGGGGATGTAATTCAGTGGTAGAGTGAGTGTTTAACAGGTGTGAAACTGCAGTTTAATCCCCAGCTTCAAACGGAAAAAAGAAAAAATAAGGAGGCCTAATATGAAATCTCAGATAGAGGAGGGGAAAGAACATTTCTAATAACCTCATTCGGTCTTCTAAGTTTGAAGTTAAGTAAACTGTGACACAGAGAGGTAAAATTATATGTCCAAGGCTATAATGATAATTAGTATGGGAGCCCTGGTCAGAAGCTAAACTGTGTAACTTCACAGTTTTCATAGCCACAAAAATTTAACACAACAAGATAAAAAGTTCCCGCGTCACGCCTTTGAAAGGCACAGAACAATTAAACAGTTTAGAAATCTAGTAAGGGTTGTAGTTGCATAGTTGCATAGGGGTCGACAGGAGCCTCACTTTCATTTTGAATGAACATTTTACTATTTTGGACAAGATGGTGATAAGACTCCACCAGGGAATTCCTGATGCCCACAGATAATTCGTTGGATTCTTACAGCAGTGGAGACAGGGTTCCTTTGGAAAACAGTTGACCAATTTTCCCGGCTTTTACAAGAATACACTTAGATCCAGTCAGAATTATGACACTGTATGTTGTCTTTGCTTTGAGGATAGCAACACACACATGGACGTGCTTTGTAATAAATGCGCTGCCATCTCCCTCCTAGTCTTTTTTTTTACACGGTGTGTCTCAATTCCGTACTTGAATCTGACACTAGAGATTCCTTATCAGTGACTTTCCCAGACAAATGAAGCTTACCCTCATTGCCATAGTTTAATAACTTTAGCAGGCAATCTTTGCAGATTGGATCACGTGCTTGTCCTGCTCCTTGAAAAGTCTCTATGGCTTCCCTTTTCCACAGAGCTCAGGACTCGAGGGAGAAAATCTGAAGCCAGACTGCTTGGGCTTGTGTCCTGGCTCTCTTTCTAACTAGCTATGTGACTTGACACATGTTACTCAATTGCTTCGCGTCTGTTTTCTTACTTGTGAAATGAGAAGGATGTTCTTTTTAAAGGTCGTGAAGGTTAAAAGTTAATATATGTATGGCATGTAAAACAATGTCTTGTATATAATAACTGCTAAGTACATTTCAGCTCAGGGAGCCGTAGCCGGCACTGTAGGAAAGATTAATTAATGGAATACACAAGTACATTTACCAACTGTGATAAGTGACAGAAAGGAAGACCGCCAAGTGCTATTAGAGTGTTAACTGGGAACCAGATTTAGCCTGGCATTGTATTATAGGGTTCTCTACATTTCAACTTCTCCTATTGATGTGTGAATTTTTTGAAAGCAAGAATTATGTCTTAATCTTCCTTATGTAACCGTCAGTGACCGTATCCTGTGCATAGCGGGGGATGCAGGCTGCTTTGGAAAGAGAGATTAAAGGAAAGAGAGAAAAAACTCTACAGGTATCACTGTGTGTCTATAAAGATGCTGGAGGCCAGACTTCCTCAGGGGGCAGAGAATGAGCCAGCGGAGGTCAGCACGCCCCTGCCTTCAGGTCTGCGGCCTAACGAGGCTGCACCCGTGTGCTCAGGGAGGTCCCTTTGCTTTGCTCTCAGCTGCCCCTCTGGTCTTCCTGGAGCATGGGTTTGCTTGTTTAATTTGGGATTTTTAGAGCTGCTGAGATGTTTGATAATCAGGAGTCTGGGGAAGGTAGCAGCCTGTCTGGAGGGAGGGTCTCCCCTCCCGAGGGCTGTGTGGTTCCAAGCTGGCTGCCTCCAGCCTGTCAGAGGCCCGGGGGGCGGGGCAGGGGAGGCCCCGGGTGCAGTCTTGGGGGCTGCTGTGCTCTTGGCCTGAGGGTAAACTGATTCCACAGGCGATGGGCAGGTTCCCAGTGCGGGTTACCAGCAGATCCCAGACCTGCCTGCTCCCAGGGTGACCCTCCAAGAGCAACCTGGAAAATAGGGAGGGGCTTTTAAATGTGTATGGATAAATTCGGAAAGAGAAGGAAAAGATCGGGTGTTTAAACCTCTAATTTCAAGTTGTGTTCCTGTAAGTGAAAGCCTGTTACAAAAGATGCGATCCAAATACTCAATAATGCAGGTAATACCAGCCAAATTTACATGCCATTTATTACCAGCTAGGTATCACTCTGAGAGTTTAATACACAGACATTCATTTAACTTCCACAGCTGCTCTATAACCTGGATCTTAGTCATTCCCATGGTACCCACAAGGAGACTGAGTTCTGAGAGCTTAAACAACTAACCCAGCATCACACATTTGCAGGCTGAAGAGTCAGAATAAGGACTTTTTTTGTTTGTTTTATGTTTTGTGTTTTGAGGGTCTCACTCTGCAGTTGAGCCTGGCCTTGGACTTTTGGCAGTCCTCCTGCCTCAGCCTCCTGCATGCTGGAATTACAGGTGTGCATTACTGTGCCCCTCAACTCTTCCTTGTAGGAGTCAGTGTCCCCATGCTGCCCTAGAAGAGGTCAGTAAAGCTGGGCGGCATTGGCTAAGCGGATAGTGCCATGGAGGAGCGCAGGGGGACTGTAGGTCCTGGGGACCGTCTCATTACCCATCTGCTCGGTCACAGCTATGGGTGCCGGCCCCAGAAGGCGTCAAGCATCCTGGGCTCTGACTGCACATCCCCAGTGAGGTGGCCCAGGAGCATTAGCACTTTTCACTCGTCTAGGAATAAAGAACCACAGCTGTGTCCTTGAGTGAGTGAAAACAGTGTTCACTGGCAGGAGAGGGCTGTGTGCGGTCATGGGCCGGAGATGAGAGAAACCACACGGCCCATTTGCCCGACACTAATGGCCCTGAAGCCAGGCATCTGAATGCCAAGGGCACAGGGAGGAGCAGACCTGCAGATTGGGGCAGTCCATTAGTGTCCTGGCTGTGTGTCTCCTCCTCCGACGTTGGATTCCAGCTCGCAGGGAGAAAAGACCAACGCTTTCCACCTTCAAGAGCTTCGCCTGTGAGCACTGAATTACCCCAGATGGGAGAAGGAAGCTCCAGAAGGGTAAACTGAGGCATTCCGAAGAATCGAGGAAGCTTCTGTCCCCTGCCACGCTGCAGCCCGGATGCCTGAGGAGTTGCCCGTCCCTTCGCCCGCACACCTGCATACTGTTAGCCAGGGGTTTCTCACCTTTAGGGGTCCAAACCAAGTCCCGCTGACTGAACAAACATCAAAACTGCAACACGACCCATTAATCAGGAATCAGGCCTTAGGCCTGAGCCCTTGAACTTCACCAGAACAAAATAGCTTTGATCTACAGAAACAGCAAACAGCACCATTAAAATAGTACTCTCTAATATTTATGAGCACTTACTTTGGGCCAGATATTAAGTGCTTTACAAGTTCTAACCCATTTAACTCCGACAGTAGTGCCAGGAGGGAGAAAATAGTCACATGTCTGCCTGAAACAAGAACAGAAGCGCACTGGAGTAGGTGTTTAATCCTCGGTGGCCTAAAGCAACAATTTATGGCTATTATCTCACGCTTTGTTGGGACCGGAGTTTGGGCAGGGAACAGGAGGCAGCCTACTTGCTCCCCGACACCTGTGATCACAGCGGGCGGGACTCCCGTTATGGTCTAGGTCTGAAACGTCCCCCGGGCTCTTACGTGTGTGGAAGGAGGCTGGGCCCTGGGGCTGTGGGACGTGCAGTTGGCTGGGCCCCACCGGAAGGGCGGGCTCCGGCTGTGACCCGGAAGTGTATGTCTTCCCCTGCCCTCCGCTCCTGACCTCCTCTCTGCTTCCTGGCTACCATGGTTTAAGCAGCTTTGCTCGGCGTGTCCCTTCTACCATGCCACTTCTGTCTTGGAGCCGGAGACCATGGACTGAAACCACGAGCCAAAATAAACCTCTGTTCCTTCGAGCTGTGGGCGCTGGGCGTTTTATGACAGAGGAGCCTGGACAGCGTGGCTCTGTCTCTCCGTGGCTAGCCTGAGCTACCGCATTCGGCCTGTGGGTGGTTGTACTTCTGCCCGAGAGGTAAGCCTTCGAATGCAGCCCCAGAACCCCAAGGGTGGTAAGTCTCAAACACTAGCCAAGATTCAAGGGAAGGGGAAATTTAATCCTACCTCGAAATTGGAGGATTATCATCAAATTTAGAGTCATTTAAAATCTGCCAACGTAAATAGTCAAGTCATATTACTAGTGAGCTAAAAATCCATTTTAAGTCAGGAACTCTTAACCACTGAATTTATGTGTCATTGAGATGAATCCAGTGTACGAGCAACATTCTGGCCTTTATGTATAGTTCGGTTGTTTGAAAAATTCATATTTTCTTCTGAACAAGTACGGTAATGTTTCCTTCCTCTCTCCCTTCTTTCATTATTTGTTAAATAGCACCTTCATGCCAGGCATTTCCTTAGGTGTTATTGACCAGGGTACACAAAGTCCTGCCCCTGCTTTTAAAGGTCTCATAGTCTACCAAGGAGAACACGTACTTAATTATTGTTCACTGTGACTAATACCACATGTTGTGGCTTGTGTCTGGGTGTCCCCCCAATGCAGTCTTTCTTGGAGGTGGCTGAATCTGGTATGTGTGATGCTGGGATTAAGGGTGTGATTACAAAACCACTCCTCCTGAGTGATTGGTTTGGCGCCACCCTAATCCCGGTAGTCTGGATGAGATAAGAGGATCAGAAAGATGCTGTTAAGGTCCCTTGTCTCCTTTGCTGCCTTGTGCATGCCACAATGTTTCTCCTCTGAGATGTCTGTCTGCCATCCCTACCTTGGGGCCAGCCAAGTATGGACTGAAGCCTTTACAAACTGTGAGCTGAATGAACTTTTCCCCTTTAACTTTGGGTGTTGTGTACTTTGTCTCAATAACAAGAGAAGTAACTCACACACAACACATGATAGGAATTGATGTGGAAACTGAGGCAGAAATACCCCATTCTAGCCTAGGGATCTCGGGAAGCTTTATAAAGGAAGTAAGGTTGAATTATATATTAGAGGATTAAGAAGAACCTGCTTGGTATGGACTAAATATTTTTAAATTTTTTATTTTTATGAGTACCTATTTGTAGTACATAATGATTACATTCCTCATGAAGAGTTGGTGCATGGTCATAATATATCTCAATTCTTTAATATTTATGTCCCAGCAAAATTAGTATATTGAAGCCCCTACCTCCAACGTGGCTGTTGGAGATGGAGCCTTTCTGGGAGTAGGTAGGGATCAATGTAGTCATAAGGCTGGGGCCCTATTCAAATAGTATCAGTGTCTTTAGGAGAAGAGACACTGGAGAGTTCATGCTCTCTGCTATGTGGGGATGACTGGGCAGTTGGCTTCTCCAAGAGAGGAATGACAGTCCCCTCCAGGAACCAAATGGGCTGGGACTCTGACCTGGTCTTGACTCCCAACCTTCGAGAAAATAAATTTGTGTTCCTTAAGCTACTGAGTTTTGTTATGGCAAAATGACTGAGACGAATGACCGAGCAGGTAAGATAAGATAGCAGGTAAAGTGGGAAGGTAGGACGTTCAAAGGGAAGCATCAGTGTATCAAAGTGAAAAGGGACTTAGGGTACCTGGCATGCATTTATTTGGGTGAAGTGTGGGGTGTTTGGGGGCTAAGCAGTGAGAAAAAGACCCAGAAAGATGCCCAAGGCTGGAGCCTTTGTGTCGAATTTCAAAACTAACTAGCTCCAGGGCTGCCCTGCCTCTAGATTTCTCTTTGTATGAGAAAAATTTTCATATTGTTGAAAATGCCTTGATATGAGTTTTCTAGTGTGTGTGTGTGTGTGTGTGTGTGTGTGTGCTCAAAAGTATCGAATCATTTAGAATTTGGGCTGCATGTTACCAAAATCCTAGAGTAATTATGGTTTAAAAAATATAGAACTGTAATTGTCTTTTAGTGAAAAGTTGTCGATGTTGGTAGCCCTTGAAGGCCAGATATAAGGTCTTTTCACTGTGTGGTGACATCATTACCTAGAGATGGCCATGAGACCCTGCTGTGGGGCCCAACCATCACTTGTGGGTCCTTGCCAGGTGGATGGGAGGTCACAGTTTGCACACTTTGCACACTTTCCTGCAGACATGTACATTACACACACTTCAGAGCTGAACCACAGGGGCACGGACTCAAGATAGCTGAAAGGCTGCCTGTATTTTGTCAGTGCAACCTCCAGGGACAGATCTGTGGGTTTGTTCAAACGAGGAGGTACAGGAGTATGTGCTAAGGGCCTTTTATCCTTATCTGCTGCCCTGTGAATCCCCCTAAGTCATCTGCATGGTGCTGGTGTTACCTGGCAGCAGGGAGGAGGGGTAGAGATGGACCCAAAGGAGGGCTTTGCTGGCTACCGTGGAGCCGATTCTCCCTGGCGGAATTGTTGCCTGGGTTTCTGACAGGCAGCCATTTCTTGCTGTCCCCAAGACCACTCTTTTGTACTTTTATTAGCCCTTTCATCTTTCTCAAAGAGGAAAAGAGGTGTTAGGTAGGATATTTTTGTCAGTGGTGCATGTATACCTGCTCCTGCATAATGATTTTGGGAGGAAGTAGTACTGGCCAGGCACCGAATCTCCTGATTGCTCGATCCTGGTCTTAAGAGTCATTTGTTTTGTTCATAAGCCACATGCTCATAATCCAGCATTCTGTATAGGGACAGGCATATATATGTATGCGTGTGTGTGTGTGTGTGTGTGTGTGTGTATATATATATTTTTTTTTTTTTTTTTTTTTTTTTTTTTTTTGTTATTTGATTTTTTGAGACAGGGTCTCACTATGTAGTCCAAACTGGCATGGAACTCAGCAATCTTCCCTCCACCTCTGGAGTGGTGGGATTACAGCATTCATCACCTTGCCTGCTAATCTTGCCGTTCTTGTTTTATCCATCCCCTCACTTTTTCTTTCTTTTTCTTTTTTGGTGGTAATGAGGATTGAACCCAGGGCTTTTACACTCAGCTACATCCTAGAGCCTCGCTCCCTTCCTCCTTTTCTTCCTTCCCTTTCTCTCTCCCCTTCCCCCTTCTTTCTTTCCATTCCCTTCTTCTTTCTTTTTTTTTTTTGTTTTTTCTTTTTTGGTACCAGAGATCGAACTCAGGACCTTGTGTTTGCAAGGCAGGTGGTGAAACCACTGAGCTAAATCCCTGGGCCTTCTTCTTTCTTTTGAGGGAGAGTTGCTAAGTTGCTGCATTGTGCAGGCTGGGCTCAAAACCTCAACCTCCTGCTTTGGTCTCCGGAATGCTGGGATTACAGACACACACGACCATGACGGTTGAGTCGTCACTATTTCTTATGTTATTTCTTAGGCTAAATGTTCAGTCTCCTGGGGTTTATCATGAAGGTTACTATGGTCTTTAGGGAAGAAGCAGAGCTCTTGTGCGCTCTGTGCTGGAGGGCAGTGCGTGGCCAGGCAGGGTGTAAACCACAGGATTTGAGCCTCCCCTTCCTCCTCCAGTTTCACTGGATCATCACAGCCAGCGTGAAGGTAGAGACGAGCCATAAACGCATCTTTATCTCCAGCTTTAAATGCAGAAACTGAGCTCTAGAAGTCGCTTGACTTGGCCAAGACCAGAGGAGCTAGCTGTTCTCAGAGGTGGTGAGAATGAGGATGCTTTTCTGAATGCCCAGCCCATGCAGTGGAATCGGACATGTTTGGCAGTCATTTAATGTTTCTAAAAAGGAAGAAGGAGAGAAGGAATGAAAGGTAGAAGGAGGAGGGGGAGTCTCTTCACAGCTTCACGCCGTGGTCAGCTCTCAGAGGCTGATGACCGGGTGCTGGTTACAGTCCCTTGCCCCGAGTCCACGCTCTGTGTCATTTCTTAGAAGTCCAGCGTGGTGAACGCCAGGCCTCCGTGATCCCGAGTCTGTGAGTCATGCTCCCTCCTCCCATCATGGAGCGGGCTAACCGCAGCCGCTCTGCTGACTGCACGCTGGAAATGACCTCACAGCATCTCACTTAACGACCTCCGCTCATTTCCCTCTGGCCGGTGGCTGGCTCTGCAGTCATTATTCATCAGCGGGACTTTGCAAACACAAACACACATGGATGGATATAATAAAACCTCAGTAATTTACACTAATTGGGGAGAAGGCATACCTGCGCGAACAGAAAGTTTATTTTATGACTTTTCAGCTTATGATGTCATTGACCACCTAATGAGCATGTGGCGAGGGGAAGGAGTGGCGTGTGTCTTGGGAGCGGGACTCGGCTAAGGATAAAAGGAGGGAGGTAAAGGGGCAGCCCGGGGCCCGGTGCTCAGGTTTCTAGGTCTGGGCTTGCAAATTGTTGGTGTTGCCGGGAGCGGTCCTTTCTGTGACACGAAGACGCGTCCAGGTGCACACATGGGCAAGTGGGTCACGCCAGGCAACATCACAGTGACCGGATCAACACTTAGTCCGTATTTGTTGGCTTCATTGCAGGTCATCTTTCCCACGGACCCAGTGCGTGTGAAGGCTGATTAGTGCATTATCTGTCACGCAGGGAGGGGCTCATCATCAGCCACTTTCGCTCCATGAGGCTGCCATGCGCTGCAAGCCACAGAATCTACAGTCCAGACTCGAGAAGCCAGTGTGCGAACCTGGTGTCTTCCAGTTGGGAATCGAAAGCAGGTGAGACCAGGTGGCTGCCTGGGGCGCTTGGCCAGCCTCTCCAAGTCTGATTGCAGTTGTCTGTGTCTTTGTGGTCTGAGTGTCTGGCACCTGCACCTGCCTGTCTCTGCCTTCTTGAAGGCCAGGGTCACTCTAAGGCTGGCTTCTCTTATGGTGGTGCATGGCTGCATTGGGTCTGCCTCTGTATACCCATGGCTCAGGATGAAGCTGAGCTGAGAAGGGCAGAGAGGGAGAGAGGGAGAAGATGATGTGTGGGGGTTGAGAGGTGTGGATGTTGTCCTAACGAGAATCACCCTGAGAAAGGTTCTCAGGAAGTGCAGAATCGGAGGAGAGCATTTCCAGGAGAAAAGGATCAACCGGACGTTCCCAGCTTATGGTGTGGCTTCCTTTGGACTGGGATGGAGGCAGCAAACCATGACCTTTACTGCCTTGTTCTGGTCCCAAAGCAGGCTCATCTCTCTTCATTCAGGTTGACATCTTTCTTGTTATTTTTAAAAAAACTTTTTGTATTTTTTAATTGTTGTTGTTCTTTGGCCTTGAACCTATCCTGTAGCCCAGGCTGGCCTCAGGCGCACAGTCCTTCTGACTCAGCCTCCTGAGTGCTGGGATTACAGGTGTGCGCCACCACATCTGGCTGTACTTTCCTCCCCTTCAGGATGATTCCAACAAAATTAGAGCACAGCTCTTGTTTTATCCCCTTCAACCTGAACATTCCGGAACTTCACTGTGGTCATCTGGGCTAGTCTTAGAGACACCCATGTTTATTAGGCCTGCAGCGGGGTGGACCTTTGCTCTTCTCTCCCAGGGAGGGAGGGTCCTGGTTAACAAGTCTCCGGGAACATTAAACTGACTCACTCAAGCTCTTTCAGTGTAGCTGTTACTGCAGTCAGTGTAAAAGTAGTGCCACCTGCGTATGTGAATTCGTCTGACCTACAGGAGGTCAGGTTTTCATTTAGAAAGGTCAGGGATCTTGCTCACGGCTCTCTCAAGGAAGTTGCCTGAATTGCTTCCCACAATGCCCTGCGGTCCTCCAAGAAGTCAGATACCCATAGTAGTTCTAGCCCTGCCATTATCCCTGTGTGTGGCCTTGTTTTCATCATCTGCGAAATGACAGTAGATTCGACGATCTTTGAGATTACCCATAATTCTAACATGTTTTGTGTTTATGTAAGGCACTAACCCCTGGTGCAGACTGCTTTTCCTGAAGAAGGTCAGGTATAATTAGTAATGAGTGTCATGCAAATGCGTGTGGCAAAGGGACTGGGAACCTCTTATTCCTTTGTACTGTCTGAATATTGCTCTGGAAATTACCCTGAAAGCCAGAAGATGAGCTCAGTGCCAGTGCTATGGGAGGAAGGAGGGTGTCAGAGGGAGGAGTTCCCGGGTCTTACCTCTGGGACACTGTCTTTCTTCTGATTTTCTTATGGTACTGGTGGCCATAGTGGCTGTCCATGGTGTCTGGGTGGCCACAGAGTCTATGTCCAAGGAATCGACATTTATCAGATGGGTTTCTCTTTAAAAAAAAAAAAGGGTGAATGTAAACAGGTAAAATCTAAGCAAATCCACACAGCCAGTTAGATTTATGCTTGGATGACTGGTTATTCTTTTCTGTTCCCAGCAGCCTCTAATTCTGCAGTGTCTGCTGACGCTGAGTTCCTTCTGTCCAGTTTCTGTCCTGGTACATTTCAGGTGTACAGTATGTTACAGTCACCATTGGGATCTTGCACCTTTACATGACAGGTCTTGGTTCTGTCCCCCCCCCCCTTGCTCTCCTGCCCTCCCTTCACCCCCTCCACCCTTCCCTATTTACAAAGAGTTTGTTTCTATTTTTTTCTTTTCTCATATTTTTTCTTTTCCCTTCTTTCCTTCCCCCTACCCTTCCCACTTCCCCTACTCCTTTAGCCCCTTTCTTCCTAGTTCACATTATCAGTTATACAATTTGAACCTTATTTACACTTTTAGTTTTTCACACCAGAGAAACTATTTGGTATTTATGCATGTGTGTCCTATTTATTTCACTTAAGAATATGTCCTCAACGTGCACCTTGCTATAAGTGATTGTAGTTTCTCTTTCTTTATGGCTGAGTAGTACTCCATTTTATAGAAAAATCACATCTTTATCCAGTCTCTAGTTAATGAGCAATTGGGCTGTTTCCAAGTTTTAGCTATTACATATTGCCACTATAAACATGGCTGTGCATATATCACTGTGGTATGATTCTTTAATTCTTTTGGAAAAATACCCAGCAGAGGGATGGCTGGGTCAAATGGAACCTCTAGTCCCAGCTGTTTGAGGTATCTCCATATTGATCCACAGTGGTTACACCAGTCTGCAATCCCACCAACAGTGGAGAAGGGTTCCTTTCTCCCCACAGCCTGGCCAGCATTTGTTACTGGTTGATTTCTTGATAGCAGCCATTCTTTGTGGGGTGAGGTGAAATCTCAGTGTTGTTTTCATCTGCATCTCTTGAATGATGAGTGATGTTGAACATTGTTTCATATTTATTTTCTGCTTTTACTTGTTTGTCTGAGAAATGTCTGTTCATTTCAGATGCCCATATTTGAATCCAGTCTTTATATTTTGGGGTCTGATTTTTTTGAGTTCTTTATGTATTATAGATAATAGAGCTTCAGACATTAGTCATTTTTTATGATTTGGGGGGCAAGGTATTTTTTTTTTTTTGGTTCTTTAAACATTTTCTTAAGGGATTAAAATTTAATTTCTGTTGCAATTAAGTTATTTGGAAACACATTTTGGGATGCAGTTAAGTTACTTAAAAACAATTGGATCCTTTTGACTTATTTTTAACTCTTGCTAGGCATGTGGAGAGCAGCCACTGAGGAGGCAGGGTCTTTTGAACACTGTGTCCCTAGCCTTGTCGTTAGGCCTCTTCCTCTGGCTGGAGGGACTCAGCCTCCCACCCCTGGGTCTGTCCTGGAGCCCGGCCTTTCCTGATGGGTCTTCCTTGCTGCAGCTGTCTCTACATGCGTGCTGACCTGTGTGCTGCTAAAGATGCAGAGCGTCCCCTGTGCCTCTCTGGCTCCATTGTGTGCTTCTGTCCTTTGTATAAACTCCAGAAACTTCAGCTACATTTGCCCCCTAGGCCCTCCCAGAGCTTGAACGTCATGTCCTGGAACTGCTGGGTCCTGTTTGCACCCCCACCTTGGTCCAGACTGCTCACCTGCAGACTGCGAGCGAGGCCACATGGGGCTCCTGTCCCCTTCGGCATCCGAGCACCAGGCTTCACCTACCTGGCTCAGCGTGTGAGACATCTGAGGACAGTGGCCAGTCCAGGCCCCGGTCCTCTGCCCTGGAGGCAACAGAAATTTACCTCCAGATTCCAGCCACCAGCGGGCCCGAGGCAGCTCTGTAACTTTGCTGTCCTCAATTCCCTCAGCCAGGAAGGCAGAATGACTGTGATGTCTCTTGACAGGAGGGTGTGGGTGTTGAGCGGAATAATCCACCAGGTGTTCTTAGTCTATTGCTCAGCACACAAATGCCAGCAATGATGATATCTATTCTCAGACAGTACCTGTTTCTGATGGCCTCGAAACCACAGGTTGCCCAAAGCCCTAAGTTTCATGTCTTATCACATTTTAAGGGTCTGTCTTTCCTGTGGAGTCTGATCTGGGACCTGTGAGGCTTCCCTCTATGCTTTTTAGCGGTTGGCTTGGCGAGTACCCAGGATGCTCTAGCGCTGAGCTAGTCCTCAGCCCTTATATTTAATATTTTGGTTTGAGACATGGTCTCACTAAGTTGCTAAGGCTCACATGAAACTTGCAATCCTCCTGTCTCAGCCTCCTGAATAGCTGAGATCACAGGTGTGCCCCACCAAGCCTGGTTGGCTCTTTATCTTTGTAAACTGAGTTTTGATTAAGCATACTTTATTGTGTCCATTTGTTTATGTCTGGTGTGTGGCTGCTTTTGTGCTACAGTTCCAGCTCTGCATAGTTAAGACAAATCTCTGATGCCCATGAAACCTAAAATATTTACATTTGATGCTTTCGAGGGAAAGGTGCCAGTCTCTCTAGAGGCTGAGGCAGAGAAGCCCAGAGACGGCTGTAGGCCTGTGTCCCTCTCTGCCTCTTCCGTGGCTTGGGCATGGACCTGGGAAAGGACTTGCATGTATTGGTTTCCCTGGCAGGGCAAGTCGTCCATGAGGGACACCGGAGCCTTCTCTGGCCTTCTCTCACCTCGACCAGCTCAGTCAGACCTCTCTTCCTGTTCCCAGCCAGGAGCCTGGACAGCAATGCTGAGTACAGAAAGGTCACAGAGCCCCTAAAAGGCATAGAACGTGAAGGGCCAGGGATTTAGCTCAGTGGCACCGTGCCTGCCTTGAGAGTGCACAGTCCTGAGTTCAATCCCCAGTACTGCAAAGAAAGAAACAAAAGGAACTTGAGAAGTGATGTGGGAAATGCGCCTTTTATTTTGACTCATTAGGAATATCTTTGACTAGAATAAGTCAGACACACGAGTTTAAATATTGCATATTTTCTCTTCAATGAGAAGCCCACAGTGTAAATAAGTCAAAGAGCAAAATAAAATGAGAAAGAAGACACAGTTGGGGAGGTAGAATGCGGACCAGGAGCGAGCAGGGTCTCCAAACCCGAGGCAGCCCAGCTCGAAAACAGAAGATTTAGCTAACAATATGCAACACCGGGAGCCGCGGGCAACAGCGAATCTGACTAATGGTGAACTGATGAGTTTCATCGGCCTCATCAGGCCAAGCTCTCTGGGTCATGAGGAAGCCAAGGAACCTGGCAAACAGGTCCTCGTGTTCCCGGCTTGCTCTGTAACATCGGCGACCTTTTCTCACCTCACACTCCAGCCAGTATCAGCCAGGCTTGGAAGGGTTCACGGCGGTTGCCGGAGTTGGGGAGGAAGAGCTGAGGGCTGAGGCTGGGTCTCCACAGGCGGGCAGTGTGCCCGGTTGGGCTGAGCGGTGATGGAGCTGCACTGATGCCCGGGGCAAAGAGCTGAGTGCCCGGCCCCTGGCCTGCTTTTCTCCAATAGAACTTAGATGCGCCGTGTGTCCACTTATCTTTGATTTAATGCCATAAGTCTACAGGTGGCAATTTTTTATTAGCAAGATCAGTTTATCAGTCTGAGGCTTATGATTGTGCCATGCAGCTGGTGCTATTTCTGTCACCAGGTTTGGTGTCGCCAGCATCCGGTGGTTACCTACCTGTACAGACCATCAGGCCAGTCGCTGAGACATTCGGCCTCAGTGTGTGCACTCACATTGTTTTATAGACCGGAGTCACTCAGTGCAAAGCCCGACCCGAAAGCTCCTGTTTTACACAACATGAAGGAACTCAGAGTAGAGCGGAGCCTGCTCCATGCAGCTGGCCAGGCTGGCCTCGAACTGGAGTTCCTCCTGCCTCAGCCCTGGAAGTTGCTGGGGCTACAGGTGTGTGCCACAGTGCCTGGCTTACTGTCTGGTGATTTTCCCAAGGAGAAAGAATGGGTAAATCTGAAAACAGTGAAGTTGGTTACGTATGAAGGGGTGGAGATGAGGATATACTGCTGACCGCACGTTCTGCGTAGTCTTCAACTTTTGAAATCACTTGAATAGTCTGCAAATGTAGTGTTCTAGAGAAAAGTAAAAACAGTTAGGGAGAGCTCAGCCTGAAAACAAAATAGAAACACTTTATCTAATTGTTTTTTAAATAACTGCTGTAACCTTGCATGAAGGAAATGAGAAAAAGAGAGAGATGGAAAAGAGAAAGGAAATTCAAGTCAGTGTAGTAACAGCGTGTGACTGTAACCTGAGTCCTAGGTGTGTGCGTATGTGCACAAACATGTATTTGTATGTGTCTGTGCAGTGTACACGTGTGTGTGTGTGTGGGGGGGTGAGGTTAGATGATGCCGACAAGAATTGCAAGTGAATCCTGAACTCTTTGGTAGCTTTATTTATTAGTGTGCTATTGGTGAAACAATTCTGAAACTGTTCTTGGTATATCACAGGACTGAACAATGAATAAATACGTTGTTTCCAGGAGCCAGGATTCATTCTGTGGAAGAGGCGCACAAATATAAAATATGGAAAAGCAGGAGAGAGCTCTGAAGGTACACATTGGAATTGGAAACATCAACCACTTCATTTCTAAAAGAGAAAAGTGTGTGCGAGAATCTTTATCTGCCTATGCATTTTTATTTTTCAGACACTTAGATGTGCACCTGTGTTTACATACACATGCACACCCAGGCACAGTAGCAGTGAGATTACCTGTAGCCTAGGTCTTGATCTCTAATACCATGCTACACCAAAATCAGCAGGACAGTAGCTGATTTCAGGATTGGAATAAAGCGGTTGCGAGATGGGCTGGGAACATTTTATACCAGATAGTAAGGAAATGTGGGGAAGAAAGATGTTATAAGGACGTGGGAGCTAGCTTTACAGTGGCCAAATTGAGGACATTTGAACAACAAAACAAGTATATTCAGTAATGAATTTAAATCACTGAAAAGCATAGGAACTCCTGCGTCTATGCTGATGACTGCTACATGGGGAAGAAAGAAGGACTCTTGCTTACAGCTAGGTGTTAAGGGCTGACTGTGCTTGAGTGAAAAAACAATGAATTCTGCAACCACTGTGCTGAAGATTGGATTAGGAAAGCATCATCAATAGATGCTAAATTTAGAGGGAAAGTTTTCCAAAGAGCAAGCTATTTCTGTGATCTTGTGGTTTCTCGTCACAGCCTCCTCATTAGTTGCAAAGAAGAATAAAAAAAACACAACAATCACATAGTAGAGAAGTCAGATAAAACCTGGACCCGATGATTAAAATTGATTCCTCCTGGGAGGAGCAGACAGAAGCCATGGGTTCCCAGGTTTGGCACCCTGATGGATGGTTCTGGTGAGAAATGAACGTGGAAATATCGCTCAGCCATCAGAAGGGAAATTCCTGGTTCTAAAAATTAGGAGAAGGAACTGTATGAATCAGAAATGTTAATGTCATAAAAGACAAAGAAGGCGGGCAGAATGATTCCAGCCTGAGGGGTCTGAAAGGACACATATGGAACGGCCCTGCCTGACCAGAGACTGGATCCTATACCGCACAGTGGGAGAACGGCTGTCGAGGACGAGGAGCACCTGACAACACTGGAACACGGGCAGCAGATGATCTATGATCTGTCCTGCTATTTAAAAGATCATCTCCATTCTTAAGAAATACACATTAAAGGACATGAAAAGAACCACAATGTATAATTATATACAATGTAGTAAAATCGTAACAATGGGCCAATCTGGATAAAGATTATCTGGTTATTCAGTTTTACCATTTTTATTCTTGGAACTTTTTATAAGCCTGAAATGATTTCCAAACAGTTAATTTTAAGCGTGGTGTAGTGGCATACACTGGTAATCCTAGCACCCATTCCTTCCAAGTGTTCCAAAAATGAATCAGCTTGAAACACAAAGTCCTCGTTCTTAAAAACCAACAGCACCATTTATTCAGCAAGGTATCACATGCCGTTCATTCAGTAAAGGGTGACAGGATTGATTCAGAGATAAAGAACCAAGCTCATTTCTAAGATGAGTGGCAGTGAGTCTAATGGAATCCATTTTCAACTAAGAAACATATGAGCAACGCATAGCTTGGCTGGCTTGTTTTTTAAATTGTAACTTTTTGTTGGCGCCTGTTTGCAGTAGCCAGTGATTACATTCCTCACGGGGGACAGATGCATGTATAGGAGGCATCTGAATTCTTTTCTCGTCCTCCCTGTTATTCCCTCCCTCTTCCCTGCATCCCTTTGTCCCCTTTCCTTTTGCAAAAGATCTATGTCTCCTTTTCCTATTATATTTTCTATTTTGCTCTTTATAATTTGGGTTTCTTGTAATAGAGAAGCTCTGCAATAGTTAAGCTTGTGTGTCTGTTTTATTTCACTTAAATGGGAAGTGATTATTCATGTTCAGAGTCAAAACATCTTCCAGTTGCTCTCTCCATGGTATTAGGTCTTTGACAAGTGGCACTGTTTGTTCTGAATGTTGTTTATTGTATCAGGCGGCTTCTGCGTGCGCCTCACCGGTCTCTTGAGGTCTCTGGCCACCCTGTCCAGCCCCAGCCTCTGGGCAGCACCAACCGTGTGTGCATTAGGACCGTGCCAAGGACCACAGCCCGAAATCTCCTGGTTGTGCCCTCTCTGCATAACTTTCACCTCCTTTTGTAGTCACTGAGGCACGAGACCACAAGACATGCCCATGCCCTGATGTGTGCAGGCAGCTGATGCCACACTGGTGACACTGACCAGCGGAAGACTGAGTCCGCCTGATCTCAGGCCATTGGCCTTGTTTGATACCAAGAGGTGCCCAGCTCCGGACTGCATCTTCCTGTGTCAGCTCTTACGCTCCTTGCCCTGCTCTCCTGTGCCTTCACTCTTATCCCCAGGGTTGCATTCAGTGATAAAATACCCTGTGCCTCAGGTGCTGCTTTCAGGCAAGTTCCAGGGCAAGACAATGCATAGTTGCTCAGTGAGACAGGAAGGGGATTTAGGGAGGGGAGGGGAAGAGGAAGTGAAAAGGATTAGATGAGATATGTGTGCACCATTTCCCTATAATGAATGTATTTATTAGCAGCACAGGCATAGAGTAATAATAAAAAGTAGTTGCTAGATAAATATTGAAAAATGTGGACAAACTAAAGTTGTGTGCTTGACTTGGATTTTTATTTTGAGGCTTAGCACCCCCTAGTGGGATCTGTTTTTCCCTTTTAATCGTACCAAGGAAGCCCCTCGAAAGTTTTTGTGTCTCATAAAGCATTTCCTGGCATATTAGTCTTGCTAACATACCAGGAAATGAAGAGGGCTGTCTAGGCTAGACGCCAGTCTCCCCATCTGCACTAATACCCAAAAGAATCCTCACCAAAATGGGAAGAGTGGAGCCCACGCCATGGAATGTGAGTTAAACACATAGAACAATGAACTCTGCTTGACAGCATTCCGTCTGATGCACCTTCCAGAGAATCTTCTCGAGAATCCAACCAAACCAAAGCAGGACATATTCTTGGACACATCCTCCATGGCTTTTGGCCCATGTGGTGCTCTGTATTGACTCTGTGTCACTGGCCACCTGCTGTGTAGACCTGTGTCAAGTCTCAGAGCTGGTTATAGGTGCCCCATCTTCACTGGTGAGGCTTCATTTTCTTCACTGCCCACCATATCCTACCTGTTATTAATTGCAAAAATCCCATTCAACTGTAAGAAATGTGATATTTTATTTTCACTGCCCAACATGCATTTATCCTTCTTGTAGCAATGGTGATTTGGGGGGATGTGTAAAACTCTCCTCCACTTTCCCAAAGAACTTCCTTTCCATAGACCTCAGGCTCTAGGCTCCGACTCGCATCTTCCAGCTTGGGCACATACCCAACTTGAAATGATAAATGCTGAGGGAACCTGATCTTGAAATTTTGGCTCAAGCATTTGGAAAGAGAAATTCCTCTTCTACTGGAGAAGCTCTGCAGTGTAGCCCAAAGCTGCCAGGAGCCCTGGGTAGAGTCTGCGAACTTCGCCAATGCAGAGAAACCGAACTGAGTGCTGGGCCTGGATGAGGTTGCAGGTGAAGCCAGCACTTCCTGCTGATGTCCTGGTCACATTGGCCAGCACCAGGCCATTTTTATTTCCGCTAGATGGAGTTGGAGTTTTTACTCACTTGTCCCTAAAACATTCCTGATAAGCCATTTAATTCTGAACCCATAGTCTTGTCCGCCCACTTGCCTCACTCTGAGTGCATGCTGTTCTCATCCATCAGTGGTTCCAGCTAGAAATCTGTGAGTGACCTTGACAGATTGATTTTCACAATTCCCATAGCTAAGCCACCAGCGAGTTGGGAATATTTTACCACTTCGTTATTTCTCGAACTTACTCTATCCCACTTGCAGCATTTAGGATAGCTTCACCTCTTGGCTGCATGACAGTGATGAAGATGACAACAGCAAGAACAACAGCAAGAGCATCCCTGAATATCCCTGAGGACTCTTCCTGCCTTCCATCAGAAAGCTGTTCTGCTTTCTGTATCCAGGAATTTTTCAAAGTACAAACTTGATTCCATCATCCTGGTCCCATCCTAGTCCTGGTTCGAGCCCCACAGTCACTTTAGGATAATGAAAACTCAGGAGATCTGAGTCCCACCTTCTCTAGTGCCAGCGATGCTGAAGTCCGCACTCCCGCCTGTCACCGGGGCCACTGTACATGTGTCCTCTGTCTGGAATGCCTGCCTTCTTTTCAGGTCTCACCTCTGACTGAATCTCCCCCGGCCCCCACAATTAGCTCAGATAATCCTTATCTGTCATCAGAGTGAGATAGTGTAGACAGAAGCCAGCCAAATGAATTTACAAACTCTTAGTTCAGTTAGTAAGAGTAAGGTCCAAACCATATTTAGGTGTTTCCTGTTTGTCTGAAGATGATTGTGACTCCCAGAGCAGGTGTTGATGGGACAGACTGGAGACTCAATGACCACAGGGAGCAGGATGCGGAGGTGAGTGTGACAGGACTGTGTGGGATGGGTGGACCCGGTCCCCTGGTCTTGTTGGTAACTTACCGACTGGGAAGAGACGGTGACCGATCGTCGTAAGCAGGGCCTGGAGCACGGTATACTTTCACTTTCATGTTGAAATGGAAGCCCATGCCACCGTCCTGGGGTAGGCTGAACAGATCTTGTGGCAGCTGCTGGGTTGTGCCACTCCTGTCTTTGCTGAAGTAAGAATCCAGACCGCAAAGATGTTTCTGTGGGACCCAGCGAAGTGACCGCAGTGAGCTTACTGCTGCCTAGGCTGCTCCCAGCCAGGAATTGGGCACGGAGGGCTGCAGAGCCAGCCCACTTCTGGGGAAATTGCGCCGAAGTCCCTGTTGGCTTAGTCTGGGGCTTGGCCTACAAGTCCTTCCCTTCTCTCCTTTCCCAGATGTCAGATGAGCATCAAGGTCTGAAGGCTTTTCCATCTGCTGTTCCTGCTCCTTAATTACTCTTAGCTGCCTCCTCCAAGGAATGATCTGCGTGTCTAAATCCGTATTGGCATCTGCTTCCCTGTGGCACTTATGTCCACTTGGCAGCTCTCTGGGCGAAACTGCCATGCAGTGTCTCTTTTCTGTCTCTGGAGGGCACTGGGGGAGCACATCTATCCCTGGGTGACTACCTGTATGTTGCTTTTGGCTAATTGATTGACTCTGCCTGTGTTGAGTATCAGCATTGAATTAATTGGATTAGAAAAATCTCAGTGGTAGAACAAGTGCTTTTCATGCTGTAGACCCTGGGTTCAATGCCAGCACCAAAAATCAACTGACATCCAACCATCCAGCCAACACCCAGCCAACCAGACACTCTTGAAGGAGACCGACAGGTCTGGACAGTGATGAACTTGTCCCCAAGCAGCTGTCCAGGCACTGAAGGTTTCTTTTAAGTACTTAGCTCCGTCTCCCATCGGACAGTTCTTACAC